GGGTGCTCACTGCACATTGGCCGCTAGGCAGAGCACCTTGGAGGCATCATGGACCCTCACAGTGGCTCCAGGAGGGAGGTGCCATCACGACCCCATCTCCCCATGAGGAAACTGAGCCTCAGAGAGGCAAGGTTACTTGTCCAGGAACACTAGCATCTGAGATTCTTGACTGCTCTAATGCCAATTACCGTCTGGTATTTTTATTTCTCACAAAAGCAAGTAACTTAAGGCCAGGAGTTGGTTCACACCTGTAATCCCAGCGCTTTGGGAGGCCCAGACAGGAGAATGGCTTGAGGCCAGGAGTACTAGACCAGCCTGAGCAACATAATGAGACCCTACGTCCACAAACAAGTGAAAAACTAGCTGGATGTGGTAGCTACTCCGGAGGCTGAGGTGGGAGGATTGCTTGAGCCCAGGAGTTCAGGGCTGCAGTGAGCCGCGGTCATTCTACAACACTTCAGCCTGAGTGACAGAGGGAGACCCTGTCTCGAAAAAGAAAAATGAAAAAAAAAAAAAAAAAAGAAAGCCAACTGTCAGTAACATAGGAGAACTGGGAATAAAAAGTTTTTAAAATACACATAAAATGTGCCATCTTAACCATTTTTAAGTGTATAGTTCAGTAGTGTTAAAAACATTCACGCTATTGTGCAACTGTCACCAGCATCCACCCAAGGCACTCTTTTCATCCTGTAAAACTTAAACTCTGAACCCGTGAAATACTAACTCCTCCTTCCTGGACATCGCCATTCCACTCTCTCTCTACGAATGTGACTTCTTTAGAGCCTCCCATAAGTGGAATCCTATTGTATTTGTCCTTTTGTGACAGGCTATTTTACTTAGCACAATGTCTTCAAGGTTCATCCATGTTATAGCGTGTGTCAGAATTTCCTTTTTATGGCTAAATAATATTCCATTGTACGTACGTATCAAATTTTGTTTATTCCCACATTCAAGGACACTTGAGTTGCTTCCACCTTCTGGCTATTGTGAGTGATGTTGCTATGAAGATGGGAGCATGAATATGTCTTCGAGGCCTTGCTTTCAATGCATTTGGGTACATACCCAGAAGTGGAAATGCTAGATCATATGGTAATTCTATTTTTACTTTTTTTGAGGAACTGCCATGCTGTTTTCCACGGCGGCTGCACCATTTTCATTCCCACAACAATGCTCGAGAGATCCAGTTTATCTATCTCCTCCCCACCAGCCCTTGTTCTTTCTGGTTCCTGATGGTAGCCATGCTCATGGGTGGAGGGGACATCTCGTCCAGGTTTCCATCTGCATTTCCCTAATGATTAATGAGGGGATAAGAGCTTTTTCTTTTCTCTTTTCTTTTCTTTTTCTTTTTCTTTTCTTTTTTTTTTTTTTTTTGAGACAGAGTCTTACTGTGTCTCCCAGGCTGGAGTGCAGTGGCACAATCTTGGTTCACTGCAACCTCCGCCTCCCAGGTTCAAGCGATTCTCCTGCCTCAGCCTCCCGAGTAATGGGATTACAGATGCATGCCACCACACCTGACTAGTTTTTGTATTTTGGGTAGAGATAGGGTTTCACCCTGTTGATCAGGCTGGTCTTGAACTCCTGACCTCAAGTGATCTGCCTGCCTTAGCCTCCCAAAGTGCTGGAATTACAGTCATGAGCCACCTCTCCCGGCCTGATAAGGGTTTTTTCAAAGCCGCTGGTGGGTCTACAGCAGCGCAGTCACCTGGTTCTGCTTCCGCAGGAGGAAATGAAGAAATGAAGGTCCCAGTGCCACCCTCCTCCCGGGGATGTTGTGGGAGTCCTCGACCCCCAAACAAGCTAGTGTGGCTGCGGCTGTGGCGTGACCTGTGCCCCAGTGAACATGCTGGGGGCCCAACTCCTCCGGAACCTCAGCCTCCCCTGATGTTGCAACCTCTACTTCCCCTGCTGGGCCTCAGCAGGAACTGAGCTGGGCTTTTCCAGCTCCAGCCAACCCTGTGACCTGCAATCCCACCCAGCCTGGAACTCAGAGCGGAGAGGAGTCAGCACCACAGGGAGGCAGGTGACAGGGTCGTCTGCACGTCCCTCAGCTTCCGCATCCAGACAAAGGGCAGCTCTGTGTACAGTGTGTACAGGACATGCAGGACGAGCGTGTGGACTGTGTGGCCAGACAGATGCGGTCTGAGTCCCATTTCTACCATTCGCCAGTGGTGTGACCTGGATAAGTCACTTCACCTCCCCAGCCCTCACTTCGATCTGTGAAATGGTGCTTGGCACGTGGTAAGTACTCAGTGCCTCCTACGATTATCAACACCATCCTTCTCCTCATCACCATCAATATCCACCAGGATGACCAGGTCACGCCTGTGTCCAACCATCCATGGCTCCCACTGCTTGCCAGAGAGAGCCCATCACACTCTCATGGCTGCTGGCCACCGCCCGGACTGACCTCTGCCCACATCGCCATCCTCCTCTGCCTGTCGCTCATCACATTCGGGGCTGCCCTCCTGTCCCTCAAACTCAAAGTTCTCCCTCCAGCCACGAGGCCTTTGCATATGCTGTTCCCCGCCTGGAATGTGCTTCCCCGACCCCATCCCGCTCCCCCGCTTCATCAGCTACCTCCTAAAAGGCCTCTGAACTGTGAAATTATTGGAAGATTGTTGGTCTCCCTATGTTGCTCTGTGAGGCCAGGATCACGCCTGCTTTGCTTCCCACTAAAGACAAGGTTGGTCCAGGTGCCCCCCAAATATTAGCCAAATGGAATTATTCCTTCCCAGAAAAAGCCTGGTTTTGGAAACTCAGGTTCCTTCCACAAAAACAAGCTATTCCCCACATAACTAAATAAGCTTTAACTTTCATACCCTTGGAAGGCTTTTTTCCCCTTCATTAAATGAACCAACCTGAGAAAGCCCTCAGCTACATCCTGTGTCCTCATTTTTCAGCTCAGACAAACATGGTCACTGAACTTGGAGTGGCTGCTCCCAACGCCTGCTGCACCTCCTCCCAGACCAGCCTCTGGCTGTCCCTTCCTCAGGACTCAAGGGAGGTTTCGGGCTGCTCTTTGGGTGACCCCTTGCTTGGGAATAAACACCCACCCTGAGGGACGGAGGACTGAGGGGGAGGTGCAGATGCGTTTCAGCCCCAACAACAAGGTCTTTGAGAGCCACAGTGAACCTGCTCAGCGTCAGGGCATGACCCAACCAGGTGACACTCAGCACCACAGCTAGCTGGGGGGCGAGGGTGTGGACCCCAGGAGGGCCATGGGCAGGAGGCCCAGCAAGACTGTGTGGCCCAAACCCATGCCTGCATCCATCCTTCCATCCTCTGTTTTTTTTTTTTTTGGAGATGAGTCGTGCTCTGTTGCCCCCGGGGCTGGAGTGCAGTGGCATAATCTTGGCTCACCGCAATCTCCGTCTCCCAAGTGCAAGCAATTCTCCTGCCTCAGCCTCCCGAGCAGCTGGGGTTACAGGCATGTGCCACTGCGCCCAGCTAATTGTATATATATATATATTTTTTTAGTAGAGACGGCGTTTCATCACTAAACCTGTTGGGCAGGCTAGTCCTGAACTCCTGACCTCAGGTGCTCTGCCCGCCTCAGCCTCCCAGAGTGCTGGGATTTCAGGTGTAAGTCACCATACCCAATCTCCTTGCTTATCTATTTCAACAGTTATTTAGTGAGCACCTACTACGTGCTCAACCCAGTTTGGGGGAAGCCTAGTGAAGACCCCAGGTCCCACCCTCCTGACCAAGCAATTTACACAAACCCCGTACTTACTTCTGGGGAGGAGACCTAGGGCTCTGCATCCGTCCCCAGCCTCACCACCCAGCGCATTCTCTGGACTCAGGGTCTCTGGGTAGGGGCTGGCTCTACGGGATGCTTCAGAGGGCCCCATGGGGAGGGTGTATTCAGAGAGGGTTAGTGCACGCATCCATTCCAGATGGTCCTCAGAGAAAGAACTTTCTCTACATGGTCACGTGAGCAGGCTCCAGGGAGCAGTCACCCATCAGCATCACTGTTGTTACTGTGGTTGGGGCCAGCTCAGGCAGGGTGACACCAAAACAAAGCCTGCAGGAAGGATGGGCTATCCCCAAACACAGGCGAGTCGAGGGAGGACTTAGGGTCACCGTCGGCTGGGCTTCATGGACACCGAGGGTGAGCCCCGGGTTGAAGGAGCCATGCCACGCCACAGCGAGGACCAGGAAACCTCCCCTGGGCCTGGGGGTGGGGGTCCCAGATGGGCACCTGCTATTTGGGTTCTCACAGGGATCGCCTTCCTGGGGGTGACAGCAGCCAAACAAAGTACACAGCTAGGTGGCCGCGAGGGGAAGGCCCAGGTGCCTGGGAGCCTGGGTCAGGAAGCCGGTGGGAGGCAGGTGGGCCGGGGGCTGGGGAATGCTGCAGGGAGGGAGCGAGCGGTGAGGACGACCGCGACATGCCAGGAGGTCTGGCTTCTGGGGCCCAGCACCCAGCAAATCTTGAAAGAGAGGAAGAGGAGCAGGTGTGAGGCCAGAGGGGACCCCAGGGCCACTGTGGGGACGTAGGTTCTGGGAGGTGCCCGCCTGAGGGGCCATCCTGTCTGCCGTGCCCGGGGAGACTTGGGTGGGCAGAGAGAGGTGGTGATATTCTCCACAGGCTTCCAAGGGAGAGCGCCCTGAGGGACTGGAGAGCCCAGGGGACTGCAGAGACTAGAGAGATGAGGCCAGGAAGACGCCGAGGCCTGGGCCAGGGAAGCCAGAAGGGCCCTCAGTGCTGGTCCCTGCAGCTCCTTCTAAGCCAGATCTGCCAGGGGAGCTCAGAAATGCCTGTCACAGAACCTTGGTTCATGTGCCCCTCCCAACCTTCCCGGCAAGTCCAGGTGCACACACACCTGTCCACAAACACACCCTCCCTCACACACACACAACTCACACGCACACCAACTCATACGCACACCAATTCACACATACACAACTCACGCACCAACTCACATACACACCAACTCACACGCTCACAACTCACACACACACCAACTCACATACACACCAATGCACACATACACAACTCACACACCAACTCACATACACAGCAGCTTACAAGCCAACTCACACACCGACTCACATACACACCAACTCACATGCACACCGACTCACACATACACAACTCACATGCCAACTCACATGCCAACTCACACACCAATTCACACACATCAATTCACATACACCAATTCACATGCATATCAACTCACACATACACAAGCCACTCACTCACACACCAACACACATCAACTCACGCATACACAACTCACACTAACACACACCAACTCACACGCCAACTCACACGCACACCAACTCACACATACACAACTCTCACACATACACAACTCACACACATACCAACTTACATGCACACCAACTTGCACACCAACTCACGCATACACAACTCACACCAACTCTCATACACGCCAACTCACACACAGACTCATACCAACTCACATGAACACCAACTCACACATACACAACTCACACGCCAACTCACACCAACTCACATGTACACCAACACACATACACACACAACTCACACACCAACTCACATACCACCAATTCACATACACCAACTCACATGGATACCAACTCACACATACACAAACCACTCACACACCAACACACATCAACTCACGCAAACACAACTCACACTAACACCAACTCACACACCAACTCACATGCACACCAAGTCACACATACACAACTCACACACACACCAACTTACATGCACACCAACTTGCACACCAACTCACGCATACACAACTCACACCAACTCATATACAACTCACACGCCAACTCACACACGGACTCACACCAACTCACATGAACACCAACTCACACATACACAACTCACAAGCCAACTCACACACCAACTCACATGTATACCAACACACACACACAACTCACACACCAACTCACATACCACCAATTCACATACACTAACTCACATGGATATCAGCTCACACATACACAAGCCACTCACACACCAACATGCATCAACTCACGCATACACAACTCACATTAACACACACCAACTCACACCAACTCACACGCACATCAACTCACACATACACAACTCACACCAACTCACACACACCAACTTACATGCACACCAACTCACACATACACAACTCACACACCAACTCACACATACACAACTCACACATACACAACTCACACATCAACTCACATACACACCAACTCATACACAACTCACACACCAACTAACATACACACCAACTCACACGCATACCAACTCACACATACACAAGTCACACCAACACACACACATACACAACTCACACTAACACACACCAACTCACATGCACAAGTAACTCACACCAACACACACCAACTCATACACAACTCACACTAATACCAACTCACACACACCAACTCACATGCACCCCAACACACACTAACTCAAATACACATCAACTCACACACACCAACTCACACACCCTCACACACACGCAACTCACCAACTCACACACCCTCACCCCCAACACCTCACACATACACAACTCACACACACCAACTCACACCCACATTTTCACACACACACCCTCACACACCCTCACTCACAACTCCCATGCACACATCGTCCCTCATACACAACTCACACACAGACCCACGCATACACCCTTGCCCCCACCCAACACAATCTCACACACACACAACTCACATACACCAATTCACATGCACACACCCTCACACACACCAATTCACACGCACACACCCTCACTCCCAACACAACCTCACACACTCACACACACCAACTCACACACCCTCACCCCGACACAACCTCACACATACACAACTCGCACACACCAACGCACATATACACATCCTCACTCACATACATTTACATACACTCCTGCTCACAGACACACACTCTCTGGCTCTCTCTCCCACACACACACCCTACCCCCACCAGGGCTCAAGGACCCCTCCAGCATCCTCAGGGCATTGGCCCAGGGGGCGGCAGGGAAGGTGATTTCCCAAATAGCAGCCCCCAGAGCCCAGGTTCTGCCCCCAGAGAAGCTCAAGTTCAGACACCAGAAGGACCTCCCTTCATCCTGAAGACATTTACATGAGGAGAGCCACTTCCCCGAGTGACTCAACATGCACAGATCTGGAAGGACACACGCACACGCAGAGGGCTTCTCTAGAGAGCTGTCTGTGCCCCTCAATTCCGGCCCAGGATTCCCAGGCTCCAGCCCAGCCCCAACAATCCAAGTCCTTCCCATCTATGCAAAGCTCAGGGTTGCCTCCGGCTTGTGGGAGCCTCCTGAAGCCATATCCTGTTCCCTCATTCCAGAGGCTTTCCCTGTCTAGTGGGGCAGCTCTGGGGCTGGGGGAGAGCGGGGAAGGCCCCAGCCTGAACCACAGGGAAGTGAAAGCCCTCAGGGAAATTCGCACTCCAGCTGCCTGCCAGCCAACGACAGCACACATTCATACATGCGCACTGACACACACGTGTACACACCGACACGTCTGTACATACAGCCCCATAGTCACCCTGACACGCAGGCACACACTTGTCAGAGGTGTTCGAACCAGAGCGACTCCATTTGAGTAAGGGCTGGAAAACGAGGCTGGGACCTGCTGGGCCACATTACCAGAAAGGTAGGTATTCCGAGCCTCTAGATGTTTACGGTTAAGGCAACAAACTAATAATGTTTACTAAAACAGACCCAGACTTAGGAGTGTCCAGATATCCCCATATCTGGAGAACAAAGGCATTCCTAATTTTGCTTTAAAGATAATAATATCGATTCTTGCAAAATATAGTAATTAAGAAAATTAATCCTTTACACAAACACTTGTAGCAGAGCAAATCTCCCCCTATATACAAGCATGTAGCTAGGATGGATGCGGTCCTTCTCTTACTTTCGGGAATGTTCGGGAACGTTCGGGAACGTCCTACTCTGTCTGTGGAGGTAGCTGTCTTTTTACCACTATCCTTTCTTTTTCTTTTTTATTATTTATTTTTCTTTTTTATTTTTTTTGTGTGTGTGACGGATTCTTGCTCTGCCCAGGCTGGAGCGCAGTGGCATGATCTCGGCTCACTGCAACCTCCGCCTCCCAGATTCAAGCGATTATCCTACCTCAGCTTCCCAAGTAGCTGAGACTACAAGCGTTTGCCACTACACTCAGCTAATTTTTTTTTTTTTTTTTTTTTTTTTTTTTTAGTAGAGACAGGGTTTCACTATATGTTGGCCAGGATGGTCTCAAACTCCTTACCTCAGATGATCCGTCCGCCTCGGCCACCCAGAGTGCTGGGATTACAGGCGAGAGCACACCGCACCCAATCCCTTGTACTTTCTTTATAAACTTGCTTTTGCTTTGCACTGTGGACTCATCCTGAATTCTTTCTTGCGCGAGATCCAAGAACCCTCTCTTTGGGTCCGGATCAGGACCGCTTTCCTGTAACACACTAACACATACACACTGAAACTCACACACGCACTAATACACACTCCCCTACTCCCACTGGTGCACACACACCAGCACACTCACAATGACATGACACACCCAAGCACACACGGGCACAGGCGCACACACGCGAACACAGCAGTGTGTAACTCTGGATCTCCAGTGGGTCTGAGCGGTCTGCCCCACAGTGGGTCTCTCTTGAGGCTGGAGCCTCCTCTCAGAAATCTTGCTGCCCCCAGCTGCCATGTGGCCTAAAATCCTGAGAAATTAGGAAAGATTCCTTTAAAACCAGCATCTTGGATTTTAGGCTTAAGCAATATTTGGAAAATGTGAGGCTCAGTCCCCCAGCTCGCTGGGCTGTGGGCCTGTGTCACCTAGTGCGCGTGTGGGGGGCAGGCAGGAGGAGGGGGCTGGCTCACGGTATGGGGCGAGTCCGGACAGATCTGGGGCACACGCAGGCACGCGGACACCCCACCGCCGAGAGCCAGAGAGACAGCAGAGGGCCGTGGGGGTCAAAGACAGCGCTCTGGAGGGACCCAAGCCCCACCCACTCTCTCTGCAACCCTCCCCAAGGGACTTCACGCCCTCAAACCTCAGTTTCCCCATCTGCACAATGGGTGTGATCCCGAGACCCACCTCATGGGGTAATGTGAAACTTAAATGACACCGCACCGATTAAGTTATAAGCCCTGGAAGCCCAAGAAAAGAAAGTGGTGGTGCGATGGGGGAAAAACCACCATCCCCGGCTTCCCGCGTGTAACGGGGCCGAAAATAACCAGCATTTTCCTTTTCTCTGCGGCTGAAGCCCACGCTTCCCAGAGGACTGGGCCTGCTTATCAGGAGCAGAGCGGCTCGCTCGGCTGTCTCCGCCAGAAGGTGACTGTGGGGGCCCCGCTCCCCTCCAGCCTGCAGCCCGACTCCCACCAGGAATACACCGGCTCCTCTCCCCTCGCCCCTTTCAGGTTTCCGCCCCACCCCCAGCCCACAAACAATTTTGCATATATTTAAATCTCCTCTGCGAGTTCCCCCTCCCCCGGAAAAAGACAGAAAGAAATTACAAAGGCCGTCATTTGTCTCCGTCCCCGCACCCCATCTATCAGGGCCCGGAGCCCGTCGCCTCGAATGAGGCGCGCGCCCGGGACGGCCGCTTTAATGGGGCGCCGCGTGTGACTGTGCAGCCGCGCGGCGGGCGCAGCCGGCCGGCATTTGCATACATATTAAACGGAGCAGTAAAAAATGCAGACATGCAAACCATTTGGACGGGCTCCTCGGCGTAGAGCCTGCCAGGAAATCAATCTTCTGGTTTCTTAAAGGCAGCCTGCTCGGGAGGAGGTGGCGATGCCACACAGCCCGCAGGCCGTGGGAGGGGGCCACGGTCTGTCCATCTGCCTGCAGGAGCAGCCGTGGGGGTCCTTCCCGGCCATGGAGGAGCCACCCACTGGGAGCCAGGGGCCGGGGAGTGAGTGTGGTGGGTCCTGGCTCAGCCGGCTGTGTGCCCTGCTGTAAGAGGGGTCCCCTCTCTGAGTGCCCACCCCCACCCCGTCACTGAAGATAATTCCTTTCCCTTTTGCTACTCTGGGACTTAAGGGACTAACCCAAGAACACTGGGCCCCTCTATGCAGAGCCTGGGTCTCTAAGCCAGGTGCAGAGAAGGATGGCCAAGAACACAGGCTCTGGAGGCAGGCAGCCTGAGTTCAAAGTCAGGCTGCACTCCCCATGAGCTGTGTGATCTTGGGCAAATGCATCAACCTCACTGTTTTCCGAAAAAGGGGGATCCACATGCCTCCCTCTTAGGTATGTCGTTGGATTGAAATAGGTCAGCCTCGTAAAGCACTTGGCTCATTGCCGAGCATGTAGTAAGTGCTCAATAAATAGTGGCAGAACAGTGTGTAGGAGGGCCCTTGGTGTTATTGGTATGTTTTTCTGGGTGAATATCCCTCTTTATATCTGCATGGTGTGGCAAGCCATTCCTCCCCGAGCCTCCTTACCTGTAAAATGGGGTGTTTTGATTTTCACGGGAACTGCTGTGTTCTAGAGGGCACCGGGTCCCTGCTGTGTGCTCCCACCACCCGCTGATTTCAGCCAGGTGTGGCCACGCTGGCGCCTCTGAGGGCTGCCCACAGCCTGTCTTGGGCAAAGCCCAGGGCAGGGATGGGTGCATACCCCCAAACTGACCATTCATCTGTGGGGCCAGGAAAAGGCAACTGGCCCTGAGCCTTAGCCGAGTGAGACTGGGGCTTCTCTGAATTCCAAGGCACAGATAAGGAAACCGAGGCTCAGAGAGGTGTGGCAAAGCCAGGAAGCTGGAAGGTGGTGCTGCTGGGATTCAAGCCAGATGTGCCTGACTGCAAGGCCACCTCCCCAGAGGTCCCCCAGGAAGGAAATACTGCCGGCAGAGGGAGGAGCTCATCCCATAGTGTCAAGGGACACAGTTCCCCCCCAAAGGAGGGGGGTGCTTGTGGAGAAAGAGTTGAGTTTTGTGTCTGAGCCCACGTGAATATGTGGTACTCACGAAGATCCTTCTTTTTTTTTTTTTTTTTTTTTTGAGATGGTGTTTTGCTCTTGTTACCCACGCTGGAGTGCAGTGGCACGATCTCAGGTCACTGCAACCTCCAACTCCTGGGTTCAAGCGATTCTCCTGCCTCAGCCTCCAGAATAGCTGGGATTACAGGCACCCGCCACCATGCCCAGCTAATTTTTTGTATTTTTAGTAGAAACGGGGTTTCACTATGTTGGCCAGGCTGATCTCGAACTCCTGATCTCAGGTGATCCACCTACCTCAGCCTCCCAAAGTGCTGGGATTACAGGCATGAGCCACCGTGCCCGGTTCGGTCCTTCCTTGAAAAGACCCGGAGGAAGAGGGGAGAGAGGGTTTTCGAGAACCAGCTCAAGTTTGGCCTTCATTCATTTCCTTCATACTCCCAGAAACGAGGAACAAGGTCCCCAAGACCTGGCCGGGCAGTGGGCAGTGCTGGGGAGTTAATGGCAGGATGGGGGGTGCACCTAGACCAGGGGGTGCACTGTCCTCTCTGAGACCCTGGGGATTAGGTGAAGAGGCCAACCCAGGGCACTGGGGTGAGAGGGCTTTGCCTTCAGTTGGGAGAGGGTCCCCTGTAGTTCAAAGCTTCCCAGGTGAGTGGCAATGTGACCTCCATGCTGTGTGTGAGAGTTGCAGCCTAGAGTTATGGGAACTAAAGAGGCCAGACCAAGAGCTGTGGCCCAATTCACTGGTGTCTCGCTGTGTGACCTTGGAAAGGGCCCCGCTTCTCTGGGCTAGGGTGGCTGAGCCGACTGCACCCCTGCTCTGTCTCTCAGGGAGCCCCTGTCTTTCAGTCCTGACCTCCAGGCTATCTGGGCCTCTGTCCCTCCACCTCCCTCTGCAACCAAGTGCAGGCCGCCCCCACTGCCCGGCAGGCAGCCCAGCCGGGGTGGAGGAAGCTGGCAGGGCGGGAAAAGGCGGGAGGGGTCCGAGTTACAGGAACCAGCAGGGCCATTGCTCAACTGGGGAGCCTGGCCGCGGGCCTGCCTCGGCCCCCACCTCCAGCAGCCCGCCCTCCTCCTAGCTCTGCATTGCAAACATTCCTCGCCAACCTCGGGTTGCTGCAGCCCCGGAAGGGGGATCTGCAGCAGACACAGCACGAGGCCGCCAGAAACACTTAACCCCTTCGTTCCTTCCAGGCAGAGCCTTCAAGCGGAGGAAGGAGGGAGCTGGGTGGCGGCCGCCACAGTCCTTCCCAGGCTGTGGGTGACCGGGTCAGGTGATTTGCTGGCAGGCCCGGCCTCTGATTACCAACCTGGATCAACAGGTTGCGTGTTAATGACTCACCCAGCAGACATTTCCGGAGCTTCCCCTGGGTGCTGGTAACAGGCATGAAAATCCAAGAGTGGCCCCAGCACGGGGAGGGGGTGGGATGCGGGTCTCATAAGCAGACATGTGTTTTAGATCATTACAGTGATGAGTGCAACCAAGACGTGCAGGGTGAGCCTGAGCACAAACTAAAGGGGCTCAAGTCATCAGGGAGGGCTTCCTGGAGGAAGTGACATTTAGGAAGCCCTGTGAGAGCAGAGGGAGAGTTCCAGGCAGAGGAGGCAGCAAGTGTGAGGCTGTAGAGGGAAGACAGACATTGGCATGTTTCAATTTGTGTTTCTGGAGGAGAGAGAGGAAGGGGAAGAAAGCCCCCAAGTGGGAGGGCTTGGCCCATGCCAGGTCCCAGAAGGCCTTGAGGCCACTCCCAGCATGGACCATCATCTGAGGTCAGTGAGGAGCCGGGGAAGGGCTTATGTGTGGAATGACATGGTCAAGTTTACCTCTAAGCCCTAAGATGCCTGAATAAAAACAGAACCTTGGGCCGAGCGTGGTGGCTCACGCCTGTAATCCTACCACTTTGGGAGGCTGAGGCAGGCGGACCACGAGGTCAGGAGATCCAGACCAGCCTGGCCAACATGGTGAAACCCCGTTTCTACTAAAAATACAAAAATTAGCTCAGTGTGATGGTGCGCACCTGTAGTCCCAGCTACTCCGGAGGCTGAGGCAGGAGAATCACTTGAACCCAGGAGGTAGAGGTTGCAGTGAGCCGAGATTGCACCACTGCACTCCAGCCTAGGTGACACAGCGAGACTCTGTCTCACAAAAAA